ATGCAGTAATTTAACAATCAATGGAAGGTGAATGTTGAACAATATAGAAATATTAGCAAATCATAACCCAACAGTACATATTGAAAAATAATTTTAAACCAAGACAAGTAAACAAAAATATGTGGTCACAGGTTCAATGTCTTACAGCTTGTATGTGCTGGTGATTCTGTGGTCATAGGTCCAATGCCTGCCAGGTGTTGGAAATTTGCAGGATGTGTTAAATTTGAATATGTTTGTGGTTCTTGCCAAAATTGAATTCATGGGCTGACAGCTCTGATCAGTGATTTCCATGAATTTCCTGATCACTTCTAGGTGAATGCCACAGTAGCATCCTAGAATATGGACTTTGCCTGATCCTTCCTTCCCTATGCTGTTCCCACTCCCATTCTTTAGGGCTGAGTGATGGTTTGATCACCCACCAATGTCCCATTCACCATCCCCTGAAAAAATATATTTTTAGCGTCAGAGACAAGCCAAGGCAGAACTAAGTTCTGTTGGGCTAGAGAAAGAAGTAAACCAATAAATAAGTTGTGTAATTTTTAACTTTTGAAGACAAAGCTTTAAAAACAATTACATGCTCATGAATGTTATGATTTAAAAATGCAAGAAAATGGAAAATTTTAATTATAAGAAGATTGCTATTTTTTAGAAAGTTCATTAGCACTTTCTTGAATTATGTCAGTCAGTTGTAAAGTTTGAAGTTAAGAACATTTCAGCCTACTCTGCTTTTTGAATTTGTAAAAAGGCTTGTGAATAGTGTTATGGTGGTTATTAAAATAATACACTTGTCACAATTCAGCCTGCTTTATTCCACATGTTCTCGTACACTCACTGCACCGATGTTCACTCCAGCTCCACTCCTTACTGCCTACTCACAAGTCCCTCTACTCTTCAGCACTTATCAACAAAACATCCTTCCCCTTTTTGTAGATACAATTTTTATTTAAATGTTTGAAATTTTTTTTACAAAATAAAGTTAATAAGTACTCTAATAACATAAACAAATGAATATAAATTACTAAAAAAGAACACAATGTCATGATAAAATAACAAAAATAAACAAGAAACTATTTGTAAAGGACAAAATCATCAAATCTTAAAGGGATCTTCACATTTCTTCTGGGTCTTGCATCTAGTGTTGATTGAGGACTTAAATCAATTGGTATTGTGTTTTACTATGGTTCTTGGTTCTTTGAAGTTTTGCTGTTGTCAGAGTTGTTCACAAATACTTTCACTTCCAATGGTGGTGAAAGATCATTGGGGATGACATCTATCACTTGAGCTTGGTTTGTTTGCCCTGGGAAAGTTTTCACATTTACGACGTTGTATCTGTATTTTTTCCTTTCACTTCAACAATGTAGTCCATACCTTGTGTCCATGTCAAGTCTTTATCGGGGTGTACTTGCACTGCTACCGCCTGTCCAATTTCCAACTCGGGTGATTTTTTGTTTGTTTTATTATCATAATGATATTTGCTACTCTTCTTGGCCATTTCAATTTCCCTCTGCACATCATCCACTACCTTAGGCTGAAGATGTTTTGTACTCATAGGAAAACATGTTCTGGTTCTTCTTGCAAAAAACCTCTGTGAAGGACTAGAGCATATTTAATTCAGCATATTTCTCCAATGTAGCAATATATACCAAAGGTCTCATTGAAACAAGCTGAAACGGATATTCTGGAACCTCCTAAGATGGCAATGGAGGATGTTGTTTGGACTTCATGAATTTCATACAGACTTCACAACCTTGTGTGTACTGAGTAATCTGGGTAGACATTCCTAACCAAAAAATTGTGTCATTTGCCAGTTTAAGAATTGCTTCTATTCTAGAATGGGCGATGTTGAATTTCTCCAAAATCTTCTTTTGTTATTAAAAGGGAATTAATATCCTGTTATTTCTGTAGATGATATCTTTTTGTGTCATAAGTTCATTCTTGTATTTATACAATGGTTTACATGAATCTTCTACTTCAGAATAATATCTCAGCCAACCATTTTGGATATAATCTACTAATTTCTGCATTGTTAAATCATTATTAGATCATGATATAATTTTCTCAACTCCCTCAGGTGATATCTGCAACAATTTCTCAAAATCTATCTCCTCTAATGCTTGAAAGATTGAATTCCTTTTTAGCTCAAAAATATTTATATACTTCCATTTGTCTTTTACATAATTATTATATATTTTGTCTTTTACACAACAGATGCCCGTGATAAAGCATCTGCAACCACATTATCTTTCCTTTTACAAATTTTATTTCCAGTTGGTATCTTTGTTATGTCATCAACATTAGTTGTAATCTTTTAGGAGCTTTCAATAAGGGTTTCTTGAAAATTGAAATCAAGATCTTGTGGACTGTTTGTATTATAATTTGTTTATTACCAGCCAATAGTTAATATATCTTGTGCATCCAAAAACTATTGCCAAAAGTTCCTTTTCAATCTGAGCATTATTTTTCTGTTTTTGTGAGTGCCTTAGAAGCATATCCAACTACTTTATCCTACTCGTAAACAGTGAACCCCAAACCAGTTGAGCTAGCATCGCATTCTAGAGTCACTGGTTGGATAACATCAAAATATTGCTGATACTCTATATTTGTAACCAGATTTTTTATCTTCTTGAAAACCTTTTCTTTCTCGCTGGTCCACGACCAGTCTATATCGTCCCTCGTACGTCTCCTCAGGATGGCAGTTTCCTCGGTCAGATTCTCAATATATCAACGCAAGTATGTTACCATACATGAAAACCAAGAGCTGTCTTCTTCTTTGGGAAAAGTATTTTTATAATCAAATTTGTTCTATCTGGGTCAGGTCGTAAACCTTCACTTGTTAAAATGTGACCAAAAAATTGTATTCATGTTTGGCACAGCTTGATTTTATCTTTGTTGATCTTGCAATTTCATGTTTCTAATCGTATTGAGAGATTCTCCAAATTACGGCTATCATCTCTCAATGCCTCGTCTAAAGAGTCAACACATTCATAAATTAAAACTAATATTTCAATACCTTTTAAATCCTGAGTAATTTGAAGCATTTTCTGCACAAAAATTTCTGGTGATGATGCTATTCCAAAAGGTCATTGGTACCTCCCAAACGGGGTCCAAAAGGTCATGAGCTCGCTTCTCGCCTCTGTTAATTTTATCTGCCACAATCCCTTTTTTTTATCTAGGGTTAAAAACACTTTGGCCTTTCCGATCTCTGGTACATTTTTACTCTGGTTACATTTTTAAATGCCTGTTTATTTCTACAGTTTTACGTGCCTATAAATCTACACATTAATTATATTTCTATTCTATCAGTTAATTTTGTTTTAAACAATGAATTCAAATCTCATATGAAAAATTAGGAGTTGAGAGAAGTGTATTGTTGATGAATCACTACATCAAACATGAGAAGGAAACGTAGAAATCTTTGAAAATTCCCTTGATTGTTTCTTGTGGCTTTACGCTTCGCCATCAATGTCAATTAAGTATGGAGAGTACTTATCCCACTGAATTGTTTGGTTAGGAAACCTAAAATCTTTAGTGTCGTGAGGTAGGAATTAAACAGAATGGGTTGATAGAGAGGGCTTAGGCAGTGGCGTAACGTTTTTGGCTGCAAGGCCTGCAATATGGGCGGGCCCAGGTAAATGAAGGTCTGTTTTAGGGGGATATACTTTTTTTAAGGCATTAACATTATGTGGGTTTGATGCTATACACTTTTATAAAAGGGGTCCCAAAAAACGTTTTGAAGGCGAGCCCACACTCATTTTATTATGCTACTGGCCCAGTAAAACAGGAATTATTTTCAAAGACATACAACTCTTACCAAATTTTTGCCAAGCCAAGTAATACTACTCTAAAAGTTAAAGTAATCTAGATGAATGTGACAGTGTCATGTGAATGTTAATGTACTAAAAGCAACATATGTGCATGTGTACATCATCATTGCACTAGCAGATATTACAATCTCCACTCACATCTCAAATACAATCTTCTTTGTTTTAGGTATATTCTTACAAAAATGTTTTGCCTTGTTAGTAGAAATGGCTCTCGATCAAGATTCTTACATTACAACAAGTCTACACAATGTTCTCCTTGTTACGAAATGAAGTATTTCCTTGAAATCTTTTTAATTGTCGTAAACTACAAAATGCAGCAAAGAATCTGTATCGCTTGCCTCCTCTGGCCAGTGTCAAACACACCCTTATTCTAAAACTTATTTTCCAATCATACCAAATCAATATCACAACCAAACTAGACCTAAAGATGCAATTCATATCCTGCAGAATTTTAGAGCATGGCCGTCATATGATGGAGTTGAGGGGAGAGGAGGAAGTGAGTGAACTTCATATTGGTTTTATGGATATGTTGTGCTCCTCAGTTTGTTGACAAGTAGCCAGAGAGGGGGAGCAGGAATTAATAAACTTCAAGAGAATTCTGTGGAATGGTCAAAACCTCTGCATTATAATTTCTTAGACTTATTATAATTATCAGTCGTTATCAGGTTAAAATGTGTATCCCTTTTTAAGCCACAAGTCTCTAGATGTTGCTGTTTGAAGTAATGACAATGCAACCAATATCAGAAAAGATTAGATGAATTAGCAGTAACAACCATCACTCTTCTTATTATATCTCAAAATTAGCAGACATGCCCCTTTAATACAAGTCCTGGCCGTTGGCCACTTAAAGAAGGGAATATTTATTATAGGAATAGGGGAATTTTACAACTTATGGAAAAATCAATTGGTTCCACAAAAAAATGGTCATTAATGGAGGCAATTACTTAATTGAAGTGGCTATTTGAGCAGGTTTTAATGTAGTTTATTTCCCCTCTGCAAGGAATGTCATTTAAGTATATTTTTTCCTCACATGACACAGACTAAAACAGCTGAAATTTTCCTGAAGAAAAATATTTTAATTTTTTATTAATTCTGTGAGATTAACATTTTAATTTCAAATAGAAGTTTTGGGAATTTAGTGAAAATAATCCTGTGATCCGAACTGTATTTTTTTAAAATTTTATACTGTAACTTCATGTAGAAAGAATCTTTGCAGCAAGGTTCATCAGATGTCTCACAAAGAATCTATTCAATTAATGCATTTCTAATTTATATTCTGTTATGAACACAAAACTATTGGAAACTTAAAACAATGATAACAACAATCTGAACATCAAATTTCACCAAAACCTATACCCATATTCCTTTGATATGGTTAATATGAATGTGTGCTGGTTTAGCTGAACTTTACAGATTTCATAGTACATAGGAGTACAGGTACATAGGGGAAATGAAATACACACTGTGTTCTAATAGAGCTCTTTCTTCATTAATTTATTTTCTACAGAATTCTAAGTTCTCTCTCACTCACTCGCACATTATAAAATATACTGCATTTATACACCATTTTATATAAATATCAATGTTCTTAACTTCTTAAATTTATTTAAATTCATGCACGCAAAGTATACAACTTCAAGCTAATGAAAGACTGTCTAGACCACCAATTTCAATAGCAACATGAAAGGTAATTTTATTTATTTTACTTTGTTAATAATGTTTGCCCTATCACTGGCAACGCATTCTACTGTCTTTCTCATATCTTAATTCTATTACAGTAGACCTTTTTAGTACATCTAACAATTACAAAAGAGAGAAAAATTACAATTCCTTTAAGTTTCTAAAAATGATTAAATCAAAAATACCACAATTTAGAGAGATCAGCAATACAAATGATTTTCAATCTACACAGTCTTTCATCCTCACCATGTCAAACTCTTAGAATATGTGTTTTCTTTAGAATAGATTTGTCTCTCATTTTTCTGAAACACTTTCTTTCTGAAGCTTAACCTAATGTAACAAGAGTCACTTAAATTCTTGAAAAACTAATTATTGCTTTTCATTTTTACATAATTTGAAGGCTCATGTTCAAGAAATGTCATTACTTCTTTTTGTGCATACAACGTTCAACTGACTTGACATTCAGTCACATAACAAAATAATTCAACTATTATGTATAGATATTAACAGAAAAATAATGACAAAAATCATGCATACAACTACACTATTACTAAGACTAAACAGGTGGCCATTCACTCAATAAATACAACTGGAATTTTAATATCTCAAGCTCGCCTTTGGTATTCTTAATGACTGATTGTATTGTACAGAACTCTTCATACGCTATTCAGCAAAATTAGCACAATGTTCACACACTTCAAATCTCTCCAATAAGCTGTCTTACAAAATTGAAGACTTGTTCCCATTACCAAACATGAATCTTCAACATCTTATTTCTTAACCAAATTTGTTCAGATTTAACATTTTCTAAAACAAATATATGATTTGCAAATGAAATTCTGAATTTACATTTTATTTGCCAAAAAAGTCTTTGTATAAAAGGTCACAATACCAACAATAAAAGGCTATAGGATAATTTTCCCCATGAGTTTTCATGAAGTGAGAATAAACATAGTTCTAGTTTAAAATAGTAAACAAAAATATTGGTAATGGAAAACTTCTATCTGCTCTGTCAAACAAGCCATCAGTGAGAATTTGAATTTCATGAGCATTAAAGCCAATTTGAGCAGACAGTGGAGATGAGGACAATCACAGCAAAGAAGACAGTCAGCCTACTACTACTCTGAGTAAGACAAGAATAAACATGTTGACTGATTTGCTAATTACTTTTAAGCAGGTTGGGACTCTGGAGCAGGCAAAGGAGGTGGGGGAGGAGGCCGCACAACAGTTATAGCAATGGTTCCACGGATTTTTCTCAGCAAATCGATTATATCTGCTGTTGTCATATGCTCCACACTCTCCTCATTCACCTGAAAAAAATCAACAACAACAAATAATTATTAGCTTTTTCCTTGTTTGACAATATGAAAACTGGACATTTCACATTCAACTCAAGCAGAGTAAAAGTGCATTTAAAGGCCTGGGCGTTAACAAAACTGAGGGATCTGATCAACATTGAAAAACCAGATATAATTATTAACAGTGGCTGAATATCAAACTACAATTTTTTGAGTGTTGGTGGATTGTTATGCAATTCTAAAAGAGAGAGAACATGCTGTTTGAAAATTAAATTTTTGCAAGATGTAAGAATAATACTATCAAATGAAGAACCCTGTTACTAGGATTAAACAATATTATGATTCCCATTCTGAGAATGCCACAAAATATGGATTTTACACTACAATAATTGACTTTGAACTTAGACCAAACTTATTTTGGGTGGGGGAAAATATTTTTTAAATTGAATCATGAAATTAATTATTATAATATCTTTATATTTTTTATTGAAGATTTTATATTACGAATGAAGTTATATCACCCTGAATTATTTCATTCAAAATTTGAAAGATAGAACACTGATGTTTCTGATTATTTTTGTTTTCAAATATGTTAATAGCTTCATAACGAAAATATCAAACATGAAATATTAGATTCTTATCATCAGCAGTTTCACTACAGAATAATGTATTTTACTCAGAATAGAATATTTTACTCAGAATAATGTATTAGAGATTTCAAGGTGTAGAGTAAAATTAAGAATATTTTCTTAAGCAGAACCATGAATGACATTTCCATTGTAATGATAAATTACCATAGTTTAAATAGGTTAAAATTTTACTCTTGAGTGAATATAAAAATCAACAAAGAATTTTTTGATATTTTGATAAATTGATAATGGGCTTTTGTTAATAATATGATTATAAATATAAATGACTGTAAACAGATTTACGTGAATCCAACAGATTCTCTGCTTCTTAACCGTGGAGCCAAGTGGTTCTCATTTAAATGTGTAGTTGAGTATTTGTGTAAACCAGTATTGAGTACATGATGTAAGAGAATTTTACCATGGTTCAGTGATACAGTTGTTTCCTTCATTCACACCATTGTTGGGTGGTACCCTTACACCATGGTTCAGAGGTACAATTGCTTCATCATGTTTAAATGTGTGAATACATTTAATAGTATACAGTGTTGCAATCAACAACAAAAGAAATATGTAAGAAATTGCCTAGCAATGGGTGATATATGCTATCATTGCAGGTAGAAGACTGAAAAATTGACAATGATCATACTCTTGAGATAGGGAAAGAAAGTAAAGAAAGAAAATCAACCACTGAAGAGGAATATGTGCCCTTGGGAACAGAAGAACAAGCCACATCATGTGCAAGAGGAAGGTTAGCAAGGTTAATGAAATTGGGAATGAATTATTCAATATGCCTAATGAAAATAATGATGGAGAAAAAATAGTCCCTCAATTCTAAGGTAAATTTCAGAGTTTAGAAACAGCAACTGAAAAATATACGATTTTTACATGCCTTTCTAAAACCTGGAGTGATTATAGAATAATGTCTGAATTTCGTGTTTCTCTAAATGTGGCTCATATAGCATTATCTACCCATGATCACAAGGGTATTATGTCAGTTCCTGAAAGAAAATATCAGCGCCATCTGATGATATTCAAAATCTTACATCAATTTCAAGAGGATGACATAAGCTGAATTAAGGGTTGCATGAAAGACACAAAATCTGTCAAAGAAAATTGCAAAAAGAGTTAAAAACAAAAAAAGGCTGCAGTTGGCTAATTTGAAAGAGCTTTCCAAAAAATTTAAGACAACATCCAGGTTGAATTTTCATGTTTTCATTTGAGATCAAATCACTGTTTTACAAGACTGCACCAGGAACTGAATGTTTTCATTTGTACCACTTGCAAAAATGTGAAATTGATGCCAACAAGTTTACAGAGGTTAAATGAAAATGATTATGAACTGAACTGGGGTGATTATTTCATAGCAAAAAGTTTCCAAGAATCCTTCTCCAAATTGTGTCCTTAAACAAAACAATAATTGTCCAAGACCTGAAATGTTTTTGAGAATAGTTCAATTCTATACTAGAGAAAACTCTTGCTGAGAACATGGTGTAGAAACAGTGGAAAACAACATATTACTTCCCTCTGGCAGACATTTTTTGAAATTAATAAAATTTTAGTTTTGTGAAGGAACATTAGATCAAAATACAAACAATAAATAAAAATAAATACTATGAATTTGTAGCATAATAAGACAGATTTTCAATTATTAGCTGAATGACATTTCTTCACTATAACAACAAAGGTTCCTGTGACAGGAGGAGGAATCAGTAAAAAGGTTTACTGCATACGCTAGCATCCAAGGAGTTCAATCATGAATTCCAAAGAACTCTATAATGAACACATACTAATGTTGCAAGTATTTTGTTTTCGCTGACAAGTAAAGGAGAACATGAAGAAGCCAATATGTTAAAAAAATCAATGTAAGGTTAATAAAGCAAAAAATTATGCCAGGAACCAGCATTCCAATATGTGAAAAAAAAATTTCGTTAAAAACTTAGATCCTAGAGAAGTAGTTCTGCATGGACACTCTTGAATATGTCGAGGAGAAATGTCATGACATCGCAGTGCTGTGCAACAAGTTTGACGCTCTGCTAAGTTTCTTCGCTCTTGTAAATAGTTTATATTTATAACTCGCAAATATTTTTCAGTTCCATTTTTAACTTTTGTAGTTAAAAATCAACATGAACATTGAAGGTGAAAAAATAGATTCAATCAAAAATTTGGTTTTCTGTAATAAAATTAATAAATAATTAAAATATTACTAATATAAAATTAATTTTTAGTATGTAATTTATAGTTCATGTTCTTCTTTTAGGAAGATATTATAATATTTTTAATAAAAATTGGGTATGGTTAATAAAATCATGAATATTGGTGAGGACTCTGCAAAAAGAATATTTCATATACTCATTCTTAGGTTACTATGGTCAATATAACTTCAAGATTGTGTCTGACTTGTATCTGGAGCATGGAAAATAACACACTGCAATAGCATTTAATTCAAAGATCAGTTAAGACATACTTTTTTGTTGTGAATTCCATTTCAAGGGTCATGGGAATCAAAATTGGCAATATTGCAAAAGTAAGTCAGAAATGAAGTCTTGCAGATTATAAGAAATAAGTAAAGATTAAGATCAAACAGGAGATATTGTACAAATGTCATCATTTGTTATTGCCCAACATGTAGTTATATTCATAAGATAAAATATTTAAGAGCAATTTAAAGAAGAAATCCAATGACTTGTCATAATACTTATTTAAATGAAAAGTTTTAACAGATAAAAGGGGGCGAGAATGCACCATTTTTGAGTTATGCACGATAGTAATTTCATAAGACGGAGACACTGTGCATTCGCGGTAGAGCCATCAACGCATACTATCGCTGTTCAAAAAACATCGGATAGCCCAATGAAACCAAGGGTTTGTAATCATCCTGAATGCTGTAGTGTCTGTGTTAGTAATTTGTTTCATTGGTATTCTTTTGTGCTTTCTTACATGACATGTGACAGCACTTTTTTGGTCAGATGTTTCCTGATGAAAAGCTGGGAAGTCAATATTTTTGAGATGACTGTTAATCTCGTAGTTCTCTCCCTTTGTGTCGACAGCCGACTGCACATATTCCTTGTGGGAAATAAGATGCATCACAATGTTATGTGTGATTACCATATGTCTCATTTTAAATATGTTCCATGTAATCCTGGGGAAGAGGGAGCAATTTCCTACCCAACAGTTGCACAATGCGGGGCATTGTGAATCGAACAATGTACTTTGCAGCCATACTTTGCATATTGCTTGTAGAAGGGTCTTACAAACGAATTACTGTTACATTTATTTCATTTCCACACATTTGTTTTGTGAAATTTTGTTTAGTCTGTACACAGAGGTTCCAAAGCCTTGAATAAAATAAGAATGTGGCAGACAGTTGGCTATGAAGGTGACAGTGTTGCCTGTAACTACACGCTCTAAATTTGTTACGATACAGGATTTGTTCTATACTTTGAGGGGACAACACTGCAAATGCTGAAGCTTCAGATTCGTTGTTATCACATGATGACAAACCATCAAACACAATCTAACTTTCTTCGTACAAAGTGTAGTGTATCAAATACAGGGGAGCCTAGAGAAAACAAGGGGCCTGGGGTAGTAATTCCACAGGGGCACCTTATTTCCATCAAAAGATTTACTTTTTATCATTATATTTATAATAATTATTATTAAATTGTTATTATTAAATTATTATTTATTATTATTATTATTATTATTATTATTATTATTATTATTATTATTATTAAATTATTATTGTTTTTATCAATATCATTATTATAATTATCGTTATTATTATCATTCTTATTATTATTACTGCTATTATTTTTATTGTTATTAAAATTAATAGTAATATATCTTAAAGTGAATCATATTTAAACTACAGTTACATTTATTCTTGAGAAACTGCGTATCGAAGGAAGCAAACGTTGTCTAAATGCCCCAAATGGGCTAGACGTGGGCTCACCTCTACGAGCAAGTCCCCGGCGCGCAGGCGGCCGTCGCGCGCAGCCACGCTGTCCGCGTGCACTGCGCTCACCACCGTGCGCAGCCCCTGCGCGCGCAGGCTGAAGCCCAGGCGCGCGTTCCACCCGCGGCTCAGCTCCACCGTCAGCCGCTGCACCGCGCCGACAAAACCAAAACATCGATACGTCACAAAACCATCGACGGTTTGGAATCCGCTATAGTAACCTTATAGTCTTATCAGTAATGTTCGTCGGGGGGTGGGGGTGGAAGGGGGAGATTTGACGGTGGTCTTGATTATTAGTTAACAATTGAGATTCAACTGACACAGCAAAGCATAATCATAATTAGAAAAAGTCAACAAAACTTTCTTTACCTGATTGGATATACAAAACTTGTACGGTAGTACATTTACTGACAAAAAGAGACCACGTTGGCTATAATCCTTGATCACTTTGGTCTGAAGAATGCTATATCCATTAGCATGAGAAATAATTTTCGTTATGGCACAGTCACTTAAATATAAAATAACGACCACGAAAAACATCGAGCGCAAAACTTACATAAAAAAGGTGTATCAATAAATGGAAATTGAATTCATCGATTTTTTTTTTTAATTCCGCACCACATAGAGCGAGGTCAACACCACTTCTTGAATTCACGGGAGTCACTGTCAGAACACTGAGCGACGACATTTCTTAATATTCTTACGCAGAAAAGGACGTAAACAAAATGTAAAGCAGTAGCTTTGCCATTCTGGCACAGCCGAGCGACAGCTACTGATCTAGCGCTAGTTAATGAAGTAATTCACTTACATATTTCCTAATAAAATTCCAGTTATTTATTTTATCATTTTTAATTGCGCTGTACGTGGCGGTCCTAATGTAAGCTGAAAACATGTTAAATGATAGAAATTGTAGTAAGAAAGGCCCACGGTTTGAAGCAGGTCACCATATGCACGAGCGCTTTTTTCAGCCCCTGGAAGAATCTAAAATATACACACGACCCAACGTATGGGCTTACCACAGCCCATTAAATAAAGCCAACCACACAACAAACAGAGCCAAAAACATTTCTCAATGTCAGCCGTCGCATCGGGTCACTCGGAAGTTCAACTGAGCTTAGCTGTATTAATGATGATCGCCTCACCACGGCCAGCGCCCACAGCATTGACTAACGAATCCTCGCAATTGAGTCACATAAACCCACTCTCGTGTATTCATGCTGTGGCGCAGGTCGGTGACTGCGTATGAGAGTCGGTGGCGCTGCCGAGTGGCTCCGTGTGAAGGCGCCCTTACTCCAACTACAGGTTGCCCTCACCTGCCCCACCAGAGGCTCCTTGGCTTCCCCCGCTTCCGCCGCCGCCGCAGCCGCCTTGGCCGCCGCGTCGGCAGCGGCCGCCGCCGCGAAGTCGTTGGCGCCGGGCGGCTGCTCGGCCTCCGGGGTGAAGACGACGCCCTTCCACTTGAGGAGGCCCCGCGGGCCTTCACTCGCAGCCGCCGCCGCGGCTGCCGCAGCGGCCGGCAAGTCGTGTTCCGACGCGCGCTCCGGCCCCGCCCCCGCTCCCGCCGCCGCCGCCCCCGTCGCCGACACGGACGTGCGGACGGCTGGCTGCGCAGACTACACGCGCGCGCGGACATTGTTACCTCAAACGTGCGTAAAAGGTAAACTGAGAGAGAGAGAGTGAGAGTGAGCGAGTGAGTGAGTGAGCGAGTGAGTGAGAGTGAGCGAGTGAGTGAGAGCGAGCGAGCGAGAGTGGAGAGCGAGCGAGCGAGAGTGGAGAGCGAGCGAGCGAGAGTGGAGAGCGAGCGAGCGAGAGTGGAGAGTGAGCGAGAGAGAGAGTGAGTGAGAGAGAGTGAGTGAGAGAGAGTGAGTGAGAGAGAGTGAGTGAGAGAGAGTGAGTGAGAGAGAGTGAGAGTGAGTGAAAGAGTGAGAGAGAGTGAGTGAAAGAGAGTGAGAGAGTGAGTGAGAGAGAGAGTGAGTGAGAGAGAGTGAGTGAAAGAGTGAGAGAGAGTGCGTGAGCGAGCGCGTGAGCGAGTGCGTGAGCGAGCGCGTGAGCGAGTGCGTGAACGAGTGCGTGAACGAGTGCGTGAGCGAGTGCGAGAGCGAGTGAGTGCGCGAGCGAGCGAGTGCGTGAGCGAGCGAGTGCGCGAGCGAGCGAGTGCGTGAGCGAGCGAGTGCGTGAGCGAGCGAGTGCGAGTGCGTGAGCGAGTGCGAGTGCGTGAGCGAGTGCGAGTGCGTGAGCGAGTGCGAGTGCGTGAGCGAGTGCTAATGCGTGAGCGAGTGCGAGTGCGTGAGCGAGCGAGAGTGCGTGAGCGAGTGCGTGAGCGAGCGAGCGAGAGCGTGAGCGAGTGTGCGAGAGCGTGAGCGAGCGAGAGCGTGAGCGAGCGAGAGCGTGAGCGAGCGAGAGCGTGAGCGAGCGAGGGCGTGAGCGAGCGAGGGCGTGAGCGAGCGAGGGCGTGAGCGAGCGAGAGCGTGAGCGAGCGAGAGCGTGAGCGAGCGAGAGCGTGAGCGAGCGAGAGCGTGAGTGAGCGAGCGAGAGCGTGAGCGAGCGAGAGTGAGCGAGCGAGAGTGTGAGCGAGCGAGAGTGTGAGCGAGCGAGAGTGTGAGCGAGCGAGAGTGTGAGCGAAGCGAGCACTAGCGAGCTAAGCACGTGGGCGCGGCACCTGGTAGATGGGCTGCTGGCGGCAGCTGAAGGCGGTTGGCGGCGCTGGAGGCCGAGGGCGGAGAGGAGAGCTCGCCGCTGGAAGGAGAGCGGCAGCGGGGCAGGCTGGCGTGGGCGGCTCGCCCTCCGCCGCGCTTGGCTGTAGGCGCGTCGGCAGCCGTCGCCGGCGCGCGCAGCCAGCAGCCGTCCGCATCGCAC